TCTCTCTCTTTCTCTCTCTCTCTCTCTCTCTCTCTCTCTCTCTCCCTCTCCCTCTGTAAAGGGTACTGATTGAGGAAGGGAAAAAGGCGGCGGCGGAGGGGCGGCTCGCCGCGGCTCTGCGCAAGTACGAGACGGCCATGGTGACGCTGCCTGAGGCGAGAAATAGAAGAGAAGACACCCATGCTGCGGTCTAAAAAGGGCATTTTCTAGGTTGCGGTTGTAGCGGTGAATGTTGTCCGTACTTTGAAACCGGTTTGACCAATGCCCGGTGTCTCCGTCAACGGTACTGATCCTGGTGTTGCTGAGTCCTATGGATCGGTTTCCTACACAGCATTGAAGCGTGAATTTCCCGTCGGGCACAGACCGCAGCTCTCAATCAGCTGCTGGGGTCCATCACAAGATTTTGGGTGTCGTAGATGAGCGGTACATTTCTTCTCTCCTCGCCAAAGGACAAAATTGATTTAGTCTACATTCCCACGCGCAAGATACTAGGATACTCACTGCTGCTGCTGCTGCTGCGTTTTCATATAGCGTGCCACCCGTCTATATGATATTGTTTTGATATAGGGAAACAAGCAAACACTAGAGGCTCGATTGAATTGCGTGGTGGAAAAATCCGTCGGTGACATGGGGCAAACATGCTTGTTTGACGTCGGCCAACGCTTGGATCCATCACGGGCATGTCTGACGTTCTTGCTTGCCATTTTCTAGTTGCGGTATAGTTTACTCATCGGTTTCGTTTTTCGCGAACGGTGGTCAACAGCTACAGCAGTACATGATGTGCCGGCACTCCGTCGAGCTACGCATACCGTGAGGTTCACTGGCGTTGTTTTTTGCGTTTGTTCCTGCGGCGGCACCCCCCGTTCCCAGGCGTACAAGCCCAGGCTTCGGAAAAAGATTACCAGGCTGGAAGCCCTTTTGGACGACGAGGAAGATCGGTGAGGATTTGTTTGTGTTTGCGTGGTATGTTCTTGTTAGAAAGTATACATGCAATCAAAGAAAGACTGGGACATCATACCCTTTCGAGATTCTACCACAGTCGAAGGAGATGTTGTTGAAGTCTTTGCAGTTGATGGGACGGAGAAAACCGGCTGGAATTCGTTTTTTTTCGTTTGAATTCTTTGCACGAAAACAGGTGCAGATGCTGTGCTAATCGTATCGTGAAGGGAAGAAATTTAGGGCATTCCTATCATTGTACGCTGTCCTCATCGACCCCATGTCGCTCTCCACCTGTGTGCCCCGTACCTACCCCTCCCCCCCCTGCCGTACTTTTCTCTCCGATTCGGTGTATTGCGTGCGTCAGCGCCCCCGGCACGCCGGCACGTTTGTCATCGAAGGCTTGCCGAAAGGCCGTGCACGATCTGGACAAGGATCCGGGCCCGCTGGACCTTCTCCGCATCGCCGTACGGGACGTCGCTGGTGCGGGCGGCGGGGGCTCAGCTTCGGGCCCGCCTTCGGGCGCATTGCCTTCCTCAAGGTACGGAGCGCGACCAGAACTTGGCAGTTGAGAAGTTGAGCCTCAACATCCGAAGTGTAACAAGAGTGCTGTACTCAGTTGTTATTGTTGTTTTGTGTTTGTCTTTTTTTGCTCTCCCTCGGTATTACCGTAACGTACTGCCGTACCGTACAGTAGGAGGTGGAGAGATGGCAACCCCCCTCGACCAAATTTCACAAGTCTGAGTACTCCACAGGCAAGCTCGTGCCTACACCGAAACTGGCGGTTTTCGGAACATCTCGCTGAGGGCTTTCCGTGAATTACCGGGCGCTTTCTCGCACCCCCTTGTTTTTTGCACCCCCTTAGTGAGTACAAAGGAACGATTGGCCATCGGTGATCGGTCCTGTGGGAACATTGCTCCGTCCTCTCGAGGACGCGTGGTCAATGGTCCAACCGCTAAGGCATGCAAAACATAAGAGTACGCCCCCCCCCTCCCCCCCTAGTGACGGAGTAGGGATGCGAGGTCGATGGTCTAACGACTACGGCATGCACGACTATGAGTACACCCCTTAGTGAGGGAGCTGGGAAAAATAGATGGGACGTACAGGGAGATGTTTGAGGCATGGAATAGAGAGAAAAGGACGGTAGCTGTACTGGGGTATAGGAGGTGGGTTGAAAAAGGGAAGGGATACCGTTAGGATAGATGGACTAGTTGAAGACATTTTTGAGCCACCTTTGGCAAAGTAGGAAGGAACGATTGGCCATCGGTGATCGGTCCTGTGGGAACAATGCTCCGTCCTCTCGAGGACGCGTGGTCAATGGTCTAACCGCTAAGACATGCAAAACATAAGAGTACGCCCCCCCCCC